AAAATGGCACCATACAGTCTTCATATTAGGAGGAGGGGGGCAAAACCTTTGAGCAAATTTCACACACTAAAGAAATTTAAAAAAATACAAAAGGTTACAAAGAGATATGTTAAGATACGTAGATTCTTGTTTATATGAATGTTATTGTAACTAAGCATGTATTTCATCAGAGCCCACCAGGAAGAGTGCTCCACAGTCTCATGGTGGAGGGAGAAATAATTTTGCCAGCAGAGGTAAAGTTTCTACTTAACTGTATCTCCTTTAGTTTCTTTGTTATGTTCAGTATATTATTTGGATATAATGTCGATAATTTACATGACATACCTTTAGACTCAAAATTACATTTACTTAAGTGCTGTAGTTAAAAAGAGTTTCAGGTACTTTATTTGATAATTTGCATAAATATACTATTTTATACTCCAATTTCATATATTCTATTTTTCACTCCATTACATTTGACAGTTTTGGTTAACAGTTACTTTGAAGATCAAGCAGTAGCAGCTGTGAAGAAGTTTTGAGGTTGTTCGGGCGATAGCTTTACTTTTTCCCCGCTTTCTCCTTCCTCAGCGCACCAGAATGGAGCCGCCCAGTTTTCCAGAGCCCATCACAACCAACCGTCAGATATCACATATTCCTCCCCGCACAAACAGGGTCGGCCACCCAGCACAGCCCTGCCCAAACTGGGCTCCCAGAGGATGCCCCGAGTCCCAGCCCACAACCAGCACAACCAGGGGAACATGGACTTCCTTAATGTGCCTGACCAGGGCATGTCAGGGTAAGAAACATCCCCTCATGAAATAGAAAAAAAAAACTTAGGAAGTGATAATCACAGCATGTGTAGGTGGTGCTGATGAGTCAGTAAAAATCAATTTATACACCTTAACAACTGAGTTGTTAAGGCTTGTCAAGGTGAGGCTCAACACCCAAACACATGAATGAATTTTATAGTGGGATGGATAAACCTGTGAAACCAGTGAATCAGCTTCAGGACTATAAACATCCATCCCACTGTCTTCTGAACACGCCCAAAGGCAAAAGTGGTTGTTGGTTTCTAAAAGTTACAGCAATGTGTCTGGGGAGGGGGTTTTAGATGCTGTTAAAATTTTCTAAAAAGCATTCAGGTTTTGTCTTGCTGAGTGAAAAGTGAAACATGTTGATGAGGTTTATGTTCCATATTCTAAGATTAATGTGTTTTCACTACAACATTTGCTACTGTATTTGAATTTGAACTTTTGTGATTTTAACAAAATTAAACAATTTATTTGTTGGTATACAACATTTTTTAATTATATGGACCCGTGCTCTCTCTAATGTCATCTTTCCAGTTTTAGATGTGAACTCTGCCGTCTCTCTGTTTTCATATGATTAGCCAATTGATTTATTTTGAGCTACATCCACTGACTGGTCATTTTTGTCAAACCGGTGATGTTTAGTTTGCAAAGGTCTTGGGGAAATGGTATTCATTAAAGTCCCCTAAATCAGAAATATTAAATAAACAATATAAGATAATTTTAGCATCCTTATCTAGACATATGGAGTGGCCCACTCAACTTGTATTGAGGAAGGTTTTGTGACCAGATTGGATTTTTAGTAATCTTTGTCATTACAAATGTTCATGTGATTTTGAAAGAGTGTTTTTTAGAACCACACGTTCTGGTTTGGTTTTACAGTTTAAAAAAGAAACCATGAAGATAAAGCTTAAACTTGCTCTCTGTGGTTTAACTCTCCCTGACTGGCCATTTAGCCTCAAAGAATCCCTCTCATCAGCAGCTCCTTTTATCCCTTTTGTCATTTTCTGTCTTTGTCACAGGAAGCAGAGGAAAAGGAGCATCAATCAGCGACCTCCTCCTGCTCCTAAACCACAGCCTCGACCCCAGGGTCCCCGCTGCCGGGCAATATATCAGTACATCGGCCAGGACACAGACGAGATCAGCTTTGAGGTCAACGACGTGTTCGACCTCGTCAAAGAAGGTGTGTCAATGACAAGAATGCAAAATGGAGAGTGATGAAAATAAATAATCAGCAGGCTGGAGTCTCATTTGATTGATCTGGTATATTTAAAATATCCTACAGTAGTTAATGATATATCTCTCTGCTTATTTTCTTTGTAGATCCATCAGGCTGGTGGACAGGCAGGGTTCACGGAAGGGAAGGTCTCTTCCCTGGTAACTACGTGGAAAAGATTTGAACAAGGCTCGATCTCTCCTGGTGGACTAGTTTGTGTCTGGTGAGAAAATATGTGTATTTTGTTGAAGGCAGCACATATCGTCCGCTAAAGAAACTTCCTGTGAATAGTCCATGGTCACGTGGTAGATCTCCATCCGTAATGGAAATAGGGCTGTTTAAGGGTGGACTTCGCTGACATTAGAGACACATATAACTTGTTTCGCATTATGTTGTACAAACAGACATCGCTGTCATGGTCATCATCATCTTTAAAACACAGATCCATTGCAAAGAGCTGCACAGGTCTCACATCTGTTGTTGTCCAAGACTCTCCTGTTCTGAGTGACATAACAACAAGATCTTTGACTTCACCCGCACTCCCACAACACCTTTCTTTGAGCCTCTACTTCACTGAAATATGGCTCAAAGCTAAAAGTTACAGCCTTAACAGAAAAGGGACCTGAAATTACTGCATTGCTTTCTGGTGTCTACAGTGTTTATGTTTACCTGAAACTTTTCTACAGAGCAACATCCAATACTGCTTAGTATTGTTGATTAAGACAGCAGTGTGACATCTTCAAAATAAAAGTAATAATAGACATTTGAGAATATATTCAATATGAAACAAGAGAACTTGACTGTTACGTTTGCACTGTAACAAACCTGCTTCAGATGAATCAAAAGAATCAAAGGATTTTCTATTCATTGAGTATTACTAATATCATGGTTGGTAGTTTATCATTTATTTTATCATCTCAATAAAGAAAAAAGAAATATATTTTCATATTTGTATCTCATGGATTTTTGCACTTGTTTAGGTTGTCTTCAGTAAGTTATAAATCATTTCTGAATCTTTCTGAACATGTTTAAAGTGTTTATTTCTGCTAATTCTGCATTTTTTTAAAAATTTGTGGTTGATTTTGTAAAATATTGTAATTCTCTCACAATCAATATGTGTTTTAGTCTATGAATAAGAAGAGAAAAATAAAGATTTTAACACTGAATTGATTTTTTCTGTTTTGTCCATATGGTAAACAAAGTTGGTAAACTTCATTCAACTAGAGTTAATTAAAATGGAAATAATTAGGGACAAGGGCAATTTGTATCCAATGTAAAATACAAAGAAACAACACAAATAATACATTGCTACATAGAACAGTGTGTATCTGTGAACCGGTGTGTATACTGCACAAAGATGACAAGTTACAAGTAATAATACAGTATGTGTGTGTGTGTGTGTGTGTGTGTGTGTATATCAGTATATATATATAAATAGTACAATTTTGGGGTACTTGTACTTTACTTGAGGATTAACATTTTCTGTTACTTTATACTTCTACTCCGCCACATCTCAAAGGCAAATATTGTTCTTTTTACTCCACTATAGTTATTTGAGAGATTTAGTTACTCTGTGGATCCAGATCAATAATACAAAATAAAATAAACAAATAATGTTGTATTATTAAGGATTTAGACTCACAAGTTACCGTACAGTAGGCCATACAAAGTAAAATCAGCCCCACCTTTAACAGCTGCAACAAAGTGATGTACACATTAATGCATCACTAATTATAATCCAGTGATTAAATAATATTGTGAAATTCATTCTGCATAATGAGCAGTTTTACTTTAAGTATATTTTTATGCCAATACTTTTGTTTTTGAATGCAGGAATTTTTCTTGTATGAGAGTATTTTCTATACTGTGGTATTTTCACGTAAGTAAAACAGTACTTCTTACACAATTTTCTAATAGTATACATATGATTAATATGACACAATGGTGCTAGTTTCCATAATGAATACTTGCCACCTCTATTTACACTAAGTACAACATATGAATACATCTATCGCCACTGCATGCAGCTTTTAAGTGGCACTTGCACATGAAATGATTGCTCTATTTCGCTCTCACTGAAGGCATCAATAGCCATGGTGAAAATGTACTATCACACGTAACACCTCTTTGCATGGTGTTAGCAATCCAAGCAACATTTGATCTTCACTTTTGACTGTGTCCCATTTTCCCTAGGAAGTGAGGCTGCACACAGTTCATTAAATAGTTGCCTGTGTGTTATTCTTTGGTAATGGTGCTTAGTGAACACACTCTAGGCATTGAGCCCTGACCCTTGTGAAGTCAAAAAAATTAGAGACATGATGACATTGATTTCAGTAAAACTTGATTGTGTAAGTCTTATAAGGCTGTCACCTGTGTAACCTGCCTAACAGGTAATTTGGTTAGTTTTGAATTGCTTTATAATGAGGACTGGCATCTTCACAATACTAATAAAAGAATGTAATTTGTAACAATTTTTATCTGGGGGAACCTAAATTCTATGTGTATATATAATCTTGACTGCAGCTATTTACTTCAAATAAATCCTCATTTTCATATAGTCCTGGTTATTCAGAAATGGGAATAACCTAAAATGTGCACCACATCCATGTTTGAAGGTAATAAGAGACTTTAAAAGGCACTTAAGAGAAAAACACACAGCTTTTGGGACTGAAAGTGTTAATGAGACTAAAACACACACACACACACACACACACACACACACACACACACACACACACACACACAACCACCCACCACATTCCTGCTCGGCCGCCCACTCATGCTTTTATTTTGAAATTTGCATCGCTCTTGTTGGCCTGACACAGCGGAGGCAGATGGACCGGTTGAGCCTCATTTCTAGACAAGACCTGAGATTAGACAAACAAATCCAGCAGCACCTGTAACACCTGCTGCTGTCTGTTCTGTATAGCGTACTTTTTTTATCTGTTTATGGTAGCCTATTTAAATAATGGTAAAATACTCAAACACTCCAATGGACTGTCTTTGGCACTGATTATCGAGTTTACAGTGCCTTTATGTGATTTTAAAATACGCTTAACCCCCTCTCATTTTTTTTTATTATTATTTTATTTTTTACTATTTGTCTTGTAATAGTAGGCCTATGTGTCATAGTGTTTCCTCTATAAAGGCAAACATTTGCTAGGGGGAATGATGAGTCCATTCCAGACATTTTCCCTGATGACATATTGGCACAGAGATTTGAAACCGTTCAGCATGGTGATTAGCGGCAGTACAGTGTCGTGCAACAGGATCAGAGGCAGTTTCGATGCTCCTCCCCGTTAAATCCACCTGCGGTACCACCTGCAGCAGAGCAACACTTACGGACCTGAGGCCGGGACAACAGCAGCATGGGAGGTAAGATCAATTCTGATAGGCCTGCTTTTGGCTAATTGAGAATGAATTAGCAGTCTCCAAGGGACTGTAGATGTGAATTAGCAGTGGTACAGTGTATCAAATGGTAACGTTTATGTTTTACTGTACGCTGTCCCTTTTTAAATAAAGAATTTAGTAATTAGACTTTCATGGCGCTTTTCGACTAGAAATATTGTGGAACTGTCACACCCTTAAGAAATCATTATCCTCCTGTTGTTAATCCTACAGGGACTGAGATTGCGTGTGTGGTGATCAGTAGTGAGTTTATCATGTACTTGAGGATGTTTCAAACCTGTCACATAAGAATAAATGATCTTTGATTTATTGAGGCATAATCACAATCCAATAGTGCATATTTGATTTATTTTACTAATAGCCTACTACTATTACTACTGTTTACACTCAGTAGTTACTTTATTAGGTACAATCTAGTTTATTGATTACACCATCCCTGCCATAACATTAACCTTCACTAGGATTATAATCAGTTTTTTGTGACATAGTCACAAAATATGTAAATTTCAATTCAACATCTTTATTACTGTCATTGTTAAATGTGGAGTTTTACTGAACTACATTATAGAGAGGTGTCTATTACTTTAACTGCACTATTATTCTTTGTTTACATGCATGAGAATATATATAAAAAGTGTATTATGCGTGTTAAACACTTTACTGAAGATATTGGATTTGTTTAATGTGTCATAATGTTGTGAGAAGTGTGTAGCCTACTATCTTACTATCTGAATCACATTATGTAATGAAATATCAAGTTGTTAAAATTATTAATTCTTGTTAGGATCACACAGTCCAACCCTGAAGTAGTTCATGAAGTAGGCTACTCATAACCCACTTTACATAAAATGTGTTGTAATAATGTGCTGTATTTCATTCTAATCTTACAATACCATAGGGTGTATACGTGTATGTATATATGTATGACTGTATATATTGTTTTATTTTACTTTATATGTTACCATATTTTAATAAAGGCCTACACATAATTATATGTTGTGTGTAGCATAAAGGAACTACAAATTTTGTTTCGTTATGCAGCCTTGTGCTGTGTAATGACTACCAGTAATAAACAACCACCTTGTGCATACAATAGTCTAAAAATACTCAATTTCAAGTAAATGTCCTAAATTCAAAATGTTACTAAAAGTAGATAAGTATTATCAGTAAAATATAAAGCGTCAAAGGTAAAACTGGAAAGATTAGTAGTATAGTACTGCATCATATTATGTCAACATATCCTATGTTTTTCATGTAAAAAGGAACTAAAGCTGACAAATAAATATAGTGGACAAAAAAGTACAATATTTCCATCTGAATTGTAGTGGAGTAGAACAAAGTAGTCTAAAATGGAAATGCTTAAGCAAATTAAAGTATGTCAAAATTGTAAGTATACAATTACAATCTGGGGAAGTATAGTATTAAGTTTGACTGTTCAGTCTCTTACAAGTCCCCAAATTTTATGTAGGTGCAAAATTGAATACACATTAAAGCAAAAAATCTGTTCATCCCTTGTTATTTTACTTTGTTGTTCTTTTAGATGTTCTTCGCAACATCTTAATCATACAGATTAAAACAAAATTATCAGAAGGCGTTGGTTTATTTCCCTATTTCTCACATACATTTAAAGAACTATTTATTTATATCTATTTACGACTCTGAGAAAGGGTGCAAGGCCACATTTGAATACAAATACAAATACAAGTCAGGGGGGAGTGGAGACTGATTTTCATAAACCACCTATACAAATACTCTGCCAGGCATGTTGGATAAACACTCATTTTATATGCTGGGGGAAGAAGTGACACAAAAGTCTGTAAAACTGCAGGTCTGCTCCTCGTCACTGACTTATAGTTCCCCCTCTTTCTGTCTGACAGGCTTCTACTTCAGTGAAAAGATGGAAGGAATTTTCGCCTACGAGAGTTCAGAAATTGACTGGTGTGAAGACAACTACCGACACTCTGAACATGTAGTGGAGTACTTCAACACTGTACGTTCTACTTCTATATACAGCAGGATTTATGTCAGTACTTCATTCAGGAAACATTTATGTCAGCAGAATAATATTTATAATCAATCAGGTTCTTGTCATATTTTCCCTCTTCGATTAAGAAATACATGTCTTACAGAAAAAAGGACGGTTGGTTGATTGATAAATTTCCCTGATTTTCCCCTGCAGATAAGCAGCTTTAGTTTCTTCATTATATCTCCCATCATGCTCTACCTTCTACACCCTTATGCCAAAGAAAGGAACCTGGCAATTCACACAGTCTGGGTCATGATGATATTTGTAGGTCAGTCACTCTTTGTCTTTCACATCTGTATCTGTCTCTTCATTATAGACACATGACTAGATATCATCTTTCTGTTATCATCATCTCAAGAATAACCTGAACATGAGTCACTAGGCCATGAGTCATGAATCGTTCTTCATGTAAGTTGTTGGTTTAATTATGATTTGACATGAGCATACATCACTGCGTTGTCCGTTGTCAGCATACATCTTGCATACACAGACTGAACATTGTTATGTACCTGCAGAGTGCAAGTGGTCCCAAAATGGACCCCTGAGGCACACCAGCATTATAGTAGAGTAAAGAGTAAAGTAGAGATGGACCTACAAAAGATGATATAAAATAGGCTGCAACGATTAGTTTCATGATCAATTGTTCAATCAACAGAAAATTAATCCACAACCATTTTAGATAATCTCATTATACCTCCTTTTTCAAGCCAAAGTGTCAACATTTTCTGGTTTTCTTACTATTCTATGAGAGTAAACTGAAACTTTTGGGCTGTTATTTGGACAAAACAAAATATCTGAAGACATTATTTTGGAATCTGGGATCTTGTGTTGGCCATTTTCACAATTTCATAGACCAAACAATTCACTGATAATAAAAACTATTTAAAAGGTTAGTTGCATTCCTACTTGCAACACCTTGTCAACAGTTGCAAATATCACTCAGGTTTGACAGAAGAGTTATTACCCCTGCTTTATATGAATAAATGAGAAGTAAAATAATCCAGTAATTTATATATATAATTCTAAGAATAAGCATAGATTTGTGTTGCCAAAATAATAGTTTTTGCTTCTACTCTCCAGTTGAACATCTTGAAACCCCTTGTGGGGTACCGATCCCCAGGGTTAGGAACCACTGGTTCACAGTTTCAGAGGCTAGATCTAAGAATTAAAACAAATATTTTTCATTCTGAAAAATTTTAGGCTTCTCATTCCTTATATGTCTTCCTCTCCCCCCTCAGTCATTTTTGTGTTTTGTCTTCTGTAATATTGAATTCTGTATTGTATGTTTCACATTAAAAAGACAGTTATCTCTTTTTGCAGGTGTCTTCTCTGCGTACTTCCACATGACACTTAGTTTCGTTGGCCAGATGTTGGATGAGCTGTCTATACTGTGGGTCCTGGCGGTGGTATATGCAGTCTGGTTCCCCCGCAGACTCTTCCCTTCTTTTATAAAAGACAGGTAAAGCAACCTTACAGCAATGAACCCAACAACAGATGAGTTGGTCCAATGTCTTTGTTTATATTGTTTGTCTTTATTCAGTAGTGATTAATTTCTCCATGTGTTACTAAGGACATACAGCTTAATAATCCTTTAATAAGACACAAAAAATGAGAGAGCGTTCCCAAGACACGCCATTCTGAAACCTAACCTGTACTAACTGAGTCTGTCTGACAGCACCAACCGGAGTCACAGTATGGTCCTGTTGTCTTCACCTGAATGTGACAGATAGGTGCTCTCACTATTGTAAATGAGTGGGGCTCCACCCAACCTGTATAAATATTTAATCACAAGGTGGGGAAAAGATTAACACAATTTTGATGAGCACCTGAAAAAAGTCCCACGGCTCTAACTCAATAATCTCACATTTTCCAGTTTGTAAGTTATGGGTACATGCATGGATGCTAAACAGGCCTTTAGATACTGAGTATGTGCCAGCCAAATCCACTAAAACTTTGTTTTTAATTTTATATTACAGTTGCACGACATACTGAGGCTACAGAAACAATGCATTTGTAAATCAGAACTGCAGAATAGTTAAAGGGGCTATAATAGTTAATAAATGACAATGTAGTGGCATTGTGAAGAACCTACAGAGAATTATCACCTGAATCTGCAGCTCCTCTCGGCTTTATGGAGCTTTGTAGTGAGTTTCAGTTCATTGTTTAGCTCTCTCTGTCCACTCATTGTTTGGCTGCAACTTTACTGTTTTGGTTAAGATGGTTCGCATCTAAAGAACCAAATATTTGCCTCAGGAGTTGGTAGAGAGACCAAGTACAAAGCTAAAAACAAAGTGAATATTGGAATTACATTTGTCAGGTGGCCAGAAACACCAACATCAAATGAATGAAAATGTTGCTCCATAATGCTGGATGTGTAAAAAAGAAACTGTTTGCTAACAAGTTCACAGTATCAACTTAAAATGATATGTGTAGTGTTCACAACTTGTTTCCACTGCCTCCAAATGGCCCTAAAAATTTACAAAGACAAGTGCTGCATTATGAGAGTCCTACCTAAAAAAAGAAAATAGAAACCTTTATCCCAGGCTTTGTTTTGATTGTTTCCTATAAGTGCTTTAGTATTTTGGATAATGTCTGTACAGAGTAGTGTCAGCATGGGTCTGCTGTTACAGAAAGCCTTGGACAGCAGTCAGACAGCCTCTCTTCATCTCAAGTGTAAACTAAATACTGGAGAACAGCAGCACCAGAGTGTTCTGGTTCACCTGCAGAATGTCACTGGACTACAAATGTCTCATAATCCGCTCATGCTCCTGAACCTTTGCCTAACAGCTTCTTCTGTTCTTCGTCTGTTTATCCACAGGTCAACATTTTCAAGCCTCGTACTTGTGATTACTGTCATCACCACAGTGTCGTCATTTGTCAAACCTACAGCCAATGCCTATGTTTTGAACTGCTTCGGCCTCCATATGCTTTATATTCTGGCTGTCGAAATGAGATGGTATGAAAATTCAGGGTTTTTTCAGGCATAAATGTTTTTGGAGCAGTATTGAATTGTTTTAACTGTTTTTCTCTCTTTCTCAGCTGCAACGACCAGAAGGTTCTGCGACTGGCCAAGATGGCAGTGGCTATGTGGGTGCTCGCTATCTCATGCTGGATTAGTGACCGCTTTGGCTGCAGCTTCTGGCAGAGGCTAAACTTCTGCTACCTCCATGGTTTTTGGTAAGTCCTAGCTTACTTGTGTCATTTTCCTTTCTTTCCCTTGCATTCCTTCTTTCTAACCCTTTCCTAGAAATTAGAACATATGGATAACAACATCAACATAACGAGGAAACGTTTTTACTGAACACATCTGCAGAACGTTTACTGACAACATATTTCAATGTTTCCCTACAATATCCACTCATGCAAAACTATACCCGCCCATAGAAATTAAAGCATGATTAACGTGTTCTTATGATTATGTTTAGATGCTCACAGCACTTAGTTACAGTTAGGGTAAGATCATGGTTGAGGTTTAATATATAGAAAAAGTCTACTTTGACATGAAGCAAGACAAAGGAAAGTTTTAGTTTATTACCATGTAATCAAAGATCTTTTCCTACCTTTAACCAAAGAGTTTTTGTTGACTAAACCTAACCACACACAGGACTCCACATGGTATCCCTGCCCATCATTTATCCCAAACACCTACCTACTGCTTCTGTGCTGTCCAAGAATAATTATATACATGTTATTTCAAGGACGTGCTCATGTGAATTAATCTCCATTATCTATATCCCCCAGGCACATTCTGATTGTGATAGCTGTGGCCTATGGCAGCACTCTGATAGCTTACCTGGATGCCAACTATGAGATACCCTACTCTCTGCCTGGACTGCAGTACTGGCCGTGTGATAAATGGGCTGTTGGATTACCTCACATTGTCCTAAAGGGCACTACTAAAACACAGAAACGGTGCTAACAAAGTCAAAGTCATTGGTGGAACATTTATATTTGTACACTCCATTATTTCAAATTATTTCATCTAGTGACCTTTACTCAGCCCCACCTTCATACCTTATAAACACAATCTGTGGAAAAAGTTGCCTCACCACAAAAACGACCTATCACTAGATAACAACTAAATGTAAGTTACAGTTGTTATCTGGTCCTGTTCAAAAAGGACTGTTTCACTGATGGTCACATAATTATGATTTTATCAGATTTGTAATACAAATGCAGAACACAGGTAATATTACTTTAATTTAAATATTTGCCCTTCGTTTGTCTTTTCCTGAAGTATATATATATATATATCCTGAATGACTGTGAAAATTATAGAAATTGTGTGTATTTTTGAAAAGTTTGTCTTTGATAGTTATGCATGTGTTTTTTGTATATATAAATTAATTGCTGTGATTTATTTTCAAGATATGAATGCACATTTGATTCTGTGCATGGCAGAATATATTGATGTACTGTATGTTTTCTTACGATAAAATGGTTATTTTTCTAAGAAACAATAACTACTGTCATTCTTCAGTGTGACAGTTTATTTGAGTGAAGCACCACAGTGAAATGAAGTGAAGTGTTTTTAAAATACCTTTACAGGTAGTTGTTTCACAGTCATATAATCTGTCCTCTGGGCTAGTTTGAGCTGTATAAGATCAACTGAGTTTTGTAGTAAAGTTCAGATAATTTTCTGGTATATTTCTCAGGAAAAACTGCATTTGTATGACTGACCACAGCAATCACCTGCAAATAAGTTTTTCGTGTGACTGAATAATCACTTTTAAAAACATTTTTGTGCTATTTTGAGAATATTCAGGTACATTGTGTCTCCTTTCACATGATCTTTCCGGAAGAACACAATATATACAACAATAGACCTTTTACAAAAAGGACACAAGCATTCTCTGAAAATCAACGTTCAAAAGCGACCTCATGTGGGTGAAGCAGTCAGTGCTTTTAGAAATGTAATCTTTACTGAGAGCCAGTTAACAAATAAAATACAATGTGTTGGCACTAAATTCAAATGGCATGTCATCAGAATCAATTATTTATCTTTTCAGGCCCTGTCTGGATATATTCAAGTTTTGTTTGTATTCCTGGATCAATGGTTCCATACCTGTGAGTCAGGACCCCTCAGGGGTCACAAATACAATCTGAGGAGTCACAAGAGCTACAATAGCAGTATGACACTTGGGTCGGTCAGTCCATCTATTATGTTGCGTCTTTTTGATGAAGGGTTCAGAATGAGACATTGCTTCATTTCCAGGGGTTACTAGCCAAAAAAGATGCTCTAGATTTATTCATTCATAGATAGAGAAATGTTTTGCACACATTATTCATCAAAATGTTTTACAAGTCAGGACACAACTGTATTTTTGGTTATCATGGAAGATTGATGATGATGATTTGTATGAATATACATACTTTTTTTATAAGTTGGATAACAATAAAGCTCAGTTATGTGTGTGAAACCTGTGGGGCATGGCTTCATTTTGTAATTCTCCCTCTCGCTGCATATTGAAAAGGAGGATTTAAAGGTTGATGAATCAATACAAGTAGGACACCCTCTGTCTGACAGCCAGGTGGGACTTCTTTTACTCAGATTTGAATGAGGGGCAGACTGGATCAGTTTGAGCAGGAGTAGGAGAAGAGGAGGCACCAAGCAAGTGAGAGAGTGGTGACCTTCTGTCCCACAGCTGAGGCCCGATCATCTCACATCAAAGTCTGAGCACCACAGAGACTTCACTCCCTGACTCTGTATAAAAGTACTGCTTTCTTCTCAGATGGAACATTTGAGACACAAGTGTTAACAACATGTGGAGTCAGAGTTTATAATAGGTCTACATTTTTTCAGATATACCCACGTTTGGAGAAGCTTTATCTCAGTGATGCAGAAAATGGTGCAATCAACAACTTTTCAATAACTTTAGATTCTTTTGATTGATGTAGATGTACACTCTTTTTTTTTTTGCACCAAAAAAAGCACTACCTCTAAAAGGTACAAGAACTCATAATGCATCATGCAGGTGGAACTCATTGTAATTGCTTCATGTAATGTTGAGTAGTTAATTTGCCATATTTTATAAATTAATCATATGTTTGTATACATATGTCTGTAAAATCTAAATCTGCAAAGTAACTATAGCTATTAACTAAATGTAGTTTAAGATTGTAGAGGGAAAAACACTTTATTTTCATCTTCATAAATGTAGTTCTGAAGAAGTAAAATGTAGCATAAGAAATACTCAAGTACCTCAAAACCTCGAAAATGTACTTAAATACAGTACTTGAGTAAATGTACTTTGTTTGGTTTTATAAGACTGGTTTATGGCACAGAAGCCTCTGCTGGAGGTGACAGAGAAAGCTCACACATTTATTATTTGTAAATATAAGAGCATTGTGAGATATTAAATTGTGTGAGTATCATATAAGCCTCTTTGTAAATGGTAATTATTGTTTCCCATTAATCCCTGGTTCATGTTTCAGTGCTATTAATAGGCTACTGTTATATTGTCATATTGTAGATACTGTATACCAAATCCATCTACCTCAAGTCATTACTCCTGCACAAAATACTTATACTTATTTATTCCAGCATTCTTTGCACTATGCTTCATCGCACTGTGTACATGTGTACATATATGCATGTATATGTACCTGTATATCACAACCAACTCCGACATGTATATACTCCTGCATCCTTTGCACTCTGCTCACTGCACTATTTGTCAATGTCTATATTGTTTTTGTTCATAGTTCATAGTTCACACATTGTTCATAGTGTGTATATTTGTGTTGTCTACACTGAAGTCTGTGTCTGATTTTATTTTATTTTTATTATTGTGATCTTGTATCTTTGTATGAGTAAGCACATCGTGAGCAATGTACAATCCAGAATCAAATTCCCCGTATGTGTACACATACCTGGCAATAAAAGCTGATTCTGATTCTGATCTGATTCTAATTAACGAGACCTTGGCGACCCTCTCGTCTAATTTGCTCCATTGCCATAGTTTCAAAATGAACCGAAAATAGTTTTATGCATCTCATTTTAACATTTCAGATCTTGTTCTTTTGCGCCGCCGCACGCTCACACACTTTGGAATCAGACTCGAGACAACCACTTCTTTTCAGGTAACTACGGTAACGCTAACGGTCTGTTTCTGTCACTCGGTTGGGAGAAGGCGATTAAGCTAGCCGCGCCTACATTTGGAGTGCACACGTTTTAAAGCCTTTATGGTAAATCCACTGAAACGAACCCGTGAGAGACAGGCAGGTTAGCGACATTATCCTGTCAGTTTCTCTCTTTACAAAGACAAGTGTTGCATTATGAGATTCCTACCTGAAGAGAGGCTGTGAAGTGTTCATGTTATGCGATATCAGAACCACATACAACAACGCCCGGTTTTCAAAATAAGATATGGAAATAAGAAGAAAGTATAAAACATATTACATGTGTTCATTAAAAGTAAAAAATGTTAGGGAAATTACTTATTCTATTTTCAATTCTTTGATTTAGGGTTTTTGGGAAAACAGTAATTAATTTGTTGACTTTTGTTGCCGTTTCATCACCATTTATAGCCATACAATATTACAATATTATTAATTATAATTATTATAATATATATATATATATATATATATATATAATTATAATTATTAGAGCACAACATTGTTTACAAGCGTACAAAGTTCTTCATAGATAGCCTCTTAATTTTGCACCAAATTAATGCAATTAACTTAAAATGTACAAAATTTTCTTCCGGGGGGGGGGCATGCCCCCTGACCCCCCGAGGGGGTCTGAGGCTCACCCACCACAGTCCCTGAAAATCCTGTGGGAAACACTGATGGTAATGCTTTTGATAATACACTTACCAGACTAATAGCGATGCCAACCGGTTGCCTGCCAGCAGCCGTCTGGTAGGGGAGGGGGGCCATCTCCCTTCCGCTTCTGGGCTGGATTGACACACAATGAGGTGCCGAGGCTGGGAAGACGCTCCACAAACGCCGCTGTAAATAAATACAACAACATGGAGAACCAGGTACAGTGGCTTTTGTGGAATGTGAACGTTTCACGGAGAAAATGCCAGCAGGCTGCACACAGGCAGGGCATGAATGAGTAAGGTATTTTACTATATGACACGCCCCTCGAGCTCTCCCCCAGAAGCTATTTCCTCCTTCTATACGAGCTTGACATAACGTTTTCTCCTCAGTCTTAGTAAGCACACCTCTTCCTCGCTCCAGGCAAGGAGGATGATCTGGTCTAGAGGTCGACCGATATGGTTTTTTTCACGCCGATACCGATCTTTTGAAATCCTGGATTAATGCTGCCGATTTATTTTGGCCAATATTTGCTTGGTTTTTAACCTCTATTTGCACCGAACTGAAGCACAGAAATCCGCGTTGATATTTGGTGCGGTAGATAACGGTCGTTAAGGTTCCAGTGCGTATTAGCACCGGGTCTGTCTGTAGCTACCCGTTAGCAAAGCAAAGCCAAGCCAGTCTGTCACTAGCCTATAGTGCGTTGGTCTCTTTTTTATTACTTATTTCTCTGCATTGAGTGACAACCCTCTCAAATATAAGACACACAAACAGAACAAATAAAAGTCTCAGATTCACTCTGTAATTGCAAAATTATTGCTTACTTATTGTGACATGATAGCAACTCTTCTGTGATAATGCAACTTCAACTACGATCCAAATTAGCCGAATGTCATGTCTTATTCAGGTTTTTTCTCGAAGTTGGCAGTAACATATCAAAAGTTTTTAATTAAATATAAAGTAGTAATAAGAATTGAATCCTTGCCGTTAGCTCCTTAGGCACTGGATGAGGTCTGCTGCTCACTCGGCTGGAAAATGACTCTAGCGGCAGCGCGCGTCAAACACGTGTTCCACGTTATGTTAAAAAATGCCAAAAATCGGCCGATTAATCGGTCGACCTCTAATCTGGTCTCACGTTCTCAGAGAACTGGGGTTAATTTCTCAACCTAAAGTTCTCTTTCAGCATTCGTTTCAGTATCTCACTATGGGATATGGAGACTCCTGTATTGCCAGACCGGCCATTAAGAGCCAGCAAGATAGGCAGTTCAGGCACAGAACACACCCAAAACTGCGTGAGACAGTGAGGGCGCAGTAACATCTAGCCTATATAACCTGGTGAAGGTGTGAGGCGTTGTCCAGCAGGCAGCTGCACATATTTCTTCAACAGAAACAACCTGAAACAGTGCCCATGACGTAGCCATGCCACGAGTGGAATGAGCGCGCGGACCCACCAGAGGTTGCAATCCCTTGCTATTATAGGCCATAGCAATAGCCCCCACAACTCAGTGTGATAAATGCTGCTTCATTAGGGAATTTCCCAAGTGTGGGGTGGCCCATGACACAAACAGCTGTTCCGACTTCCTGAATCCAGCCGTTCTATCCACATACGTGCACACAGCTTGCACCGGGCAGAGCGTATTCAGCCGTTCCTGCTCCTGCCTGAAGAAAGGAGGAGGACAGAAAGCCAACAGTTCAATGGGGCGGCATGAAAGTGCCGGGTTAAAAATCTTGGGCACAAAGACGGGGTTGGGTCTCACCAAAACCTTGGAATCACCCATCAGAAACTGCATGCATGTCGGGTTCACTGTTCAGCGCATGGATGCCACTTACGTGTTTAGCTAAGGCCAGCGCGAGCAACAAAGCAGTTTTAAAGCAGAGTGTTTTAAGCTCCACCTGATGTAATGGCTCAAACGGTGGGTGTGACAATGCATCAAGCACCACTGATAAATCCCACGGGGCAGCCAAGCTCCTCGACACTGGCCGGAGGCGTCGTGCACCCTTCATAAACTGACAAATGAGCGGATACTGGCCAGCCGATTTGTGTGACATGCCGATATAGCGGCTAAGTACACTTTAACAGTGGAGAATGCCAAGCCCTTGTCGAGTAGGGTTTGCAAAAAAGTCAGAATAACGGGTACAGGGCTCTCAGTGACAGGAGGTAAGAGCTGCTTCACATGATCAGTCTGTGTGCCAACGTGTGTAGATAACGTGACCGCAGCCCCCCTTGTCTGTTGATATATGCCACTACCGTGGTATTGTCCGTCCTGACCAGAACATGCTGCCCTCTCAGGAAAGGCAGGAAATGCCTTAACGCCAGGTAGACAGCCCGGAGTTCCAGGCAGTTTATATGAACCCACTGCATGTGAAAGCGCCATGTGGGCGGCTCCCTGGTTGCGTGTCGAAGTGTCCTTGGGCAAGATACTGAACCCCGATTTGCCCCTGGCTGTTCCGCCAGTGTATGAATTTGTGTGAATGTTAGTTTCCGTTTGAGCACTTAGGCTCAGTGTAAGAATGTGTATGAGTGGTGAATGCAGATGTAGTGTAAAAGCGCGTTGAGTGGTCGAAAAGACTAGAAAGGCGCTATACAAATACAGAGCATTTACATGTGCCATTTACTGCCCCGCCCTCGTGCGGGCCAGCCAGCCAGCTCTGGTGCCTTTCTTTGGCACCAGAAAATACCTCAAATAGAAACCGCTCTGGTTCATCTCTGGTGGTACTCTCTGAACAGCCCCCTTGTTTTGCAGAGAGGTGATTTCCTCCTGCAAAATGCGAGCGTGCTCTCCCCGAGCCCGTGATTGCACTACACCATTGAATCGGGGCGGGATGGACGCAAACTGAAGCCTGTAACCGTTGGTTACAGTCTTTATTACCCAATCTGTTGCCCACTGCAGTAGGCAGGATGGCCTGCTGCGCCACAAGCGCCCTCTTGTGGCGACAAGCGAGGCTGTCCTGCCATTGACTGTTCCCTTTTCATTGTTTTTATGTTTTTTATATTTTTTGAGAAATGTGGCTGCGCCCTCGGGTCTTGGCCTGGATGCGCGCCCAAAGTTACATTTATTACTGAAGGGGAGGGACATTTGTGTGTGTTTGGGAACTGGTGTTTGGGAACTGGTGTGTGCTTGAGTAAGTCAGCTGCGGCTCCACAGAGCTCTTTGCAGGTCTGGCTCTCCTCCTCTTTGCGTGGCTGTGAACTGTGAGCCGACATGGCCTCTGCACGCCTTTTGGGGGGCCTGGAACGTGCCCTCTTGAACTGGTTTGGGAACAGAATGCAGGTGTCCGGCCAGGACCGCTGTCCTCAGCTGGCGGCAGCACACTAGGCAGAGGCAGGCAGAGGTCTGTTATCACACACAGTTCCTCCCACAGGGCTGAGGTGGGTGAAGTGGGCGTGTCGTCTTCTAATTCAGCCTGGTAGGCCCATAGCAGCGATGATGCGTTCAGAGCCTTTACAGACATAGCCACCGCCTTGTAGCCCTTTTCTGTCAGTGACGACTGAAAGCAGTCTACCCTGGAAGGCAGAGTAGGGCCCACAGATGTCATGGTGGGCTTCTGTGAGGGATGGAGGTAAGAAGCCAAAAGGGGCTCGACCGGGGACATGTGGAAAAACCCCTTTTCCTCGATGCCAGCCCAATCCAGCTCTGACCCTCCCTGGACGGAGTTTTTGGCGGAGACTGGGTTGTTTCATGACAGGGTTGCCTCCTCCGGACACTCGGGAAAAAACGGCAGCAGCTGTCTAGCCGAGGACTTGACTTTTGGCAGCCGTTTTCCCCCGTAGCAAGATGTGGTGGTCTCGGTGAGGACTTCAGGCCATGCAATGCCCAGCCTTGCGGCTGCTCTTTTGCAGGTCTCGTGCAGGTCCATGCTGGCAGTCGGGTTTGGAGAGCCGCTGCACGCACCATCCATTGCCACTGGCTTTACAGCATGTGGTAGGGTAAAGGGCTCGTCACCGTCCCCATCGTCTTCCTCAGAACCAAGGCTAATGGACTCGTCCCCCGAGTCAGAGTCGGCCCCCACAGCTTCACTTAGCATTGCTGCTAGGCTGGCTAGTCGAGCTGTTTGCCCCAGGTGGGCCCCACGGGCATGGTGGGCTCCTCTGGGTCCTCAAGTAACTCCTGTGGCGGGGGGGTTGGCTACCCCCATCATAGGGTCCACTTCCGACAGGCTAGCTTGGCGCGCCAGCCTGCATCTGCGAGTCTTGAGGGAGAGGTGTGCACAATGCTCATGATTATAGACTAAAATGCATGTAGCATGGTGGAAAAGCTATAGAATAAGAATATAAAACATTATTTTAAAGACTGATTTGTAAACCCTTTGCTCCTACAAGACCGTGTCTTCACATTTTATTCTGTTCATGTGTAAATTTGCCCGGTTAAGATTTATGTCATCCTTCACAAGCTACATTATTAATTAGCAGAAAACAGAAAAGTGGGTAAACCAAATTACATATCTACTAACTGTAAGGGGAGATATTGCTTCAAAGTGGGTTGTATTCTAAGTGCCAGAGGTTATTCAGGACTACATTTCAGATGGTTAGGCCACACACACCAAAATTTGTGTTTCCCATCCCTTCAATTGGAGCACTGTGTACAAGAGAGGGAGTTTTCATTTCATGTCTTTATATTTTCCCAGCCTAATATCTCCTCCTGGGCTCTTCATATTCTGGTTAGTGGTAGAAATGATAGTAGTGAGTTTTTTTCTTCTTCATGTCTATCAATATTGTTTTCTCTTCCTGTCTGTATTTTATAGAGCTGCAACTATAAGTCAATTATTTTAGTAGTCGATCAATAGAAAATGAATTGTTAAATAAACGGTCTGAGTCATTTTGCTTGAAACATTTGCCTTCTCCAGCTTCTACAATGTGAGGTTTTGTTGCTTTTTTCAGTTTTGTATCACTGTACATTCAATATATTTAGGTGCTGGACTGTTGGTCAAACAAAACAATCAATTTAAAGAATCTCTGGAAAGTAATTTTTCAGTATTTTCTGACATCTTATAGACAAATCGATTTATAGAGAAAATAATCAACAGATTAATTGGTAGTGAAATCAATCTTCAGTTGCAGCACTAGTATTTCACTATAGCTGCAATAAATGATTGTTTTAATTATTGTTTAATCTGGCAGTTATTTTCTCGATTAGTTGTTTGCTGTATATACAATGTGAAACATTGTATGTTTCACATTGTATGCACATACAATGTGCACAGGCAGAATGTTGGTTTTCTTTGTAACTGTCTTATCGCTCATTTTAGTACTTGGTCCTGTGCTTTAGTTCATGTTTAGTGTTTTCCTTATCAGTGTACTTCTGTATTTTCTCATTATGGTCTGTCTTAGTCCTTAGTCTTATCTCCATGTTTTAGGGTAGTCTTGTCTCTCATCTTAGTTCTTCTTCCTGCACCTTGGTTCTTGTTTTAGTATTTACTTCAGGTTCCTTGTCTACATTATTTTGGGTCTAGTCTCCTTTGTACTTTAGCTCTGTGTTCTCCTTTTGAGTTCTTGTTCATTGTACATGTGTGTTTCTGTCTTATTGGTTATTCTCTCTGCCCATGTCTTGTATTCAGTAACCTTGTCTTGTCTGTTACCCCAGTGATCCCTCTGCATGTCTGTCCTTGTTTTCCCCTTCTCTCTCTCTGCCTGTGTGTCGCTCTCTCTCTTTTCTCTGCCTCTCTCTCCGCCTGCCTGCCTGTCCCTCATTAACCCTGATCTCTGTCACCTGTGTTGCTCCCGTTAGTCCCTGTGTATATATACCTGGTGTTTCTGTCTTGTCTTTGTTGGTTCATTACTTTCTATGTGTGTTATGATCCCTTGTTGTCTGCCTACTCGTTGTGTTTCCCTGCACCGTTGGATTTCTGTTTGGACAGCTTTTGTGTTTCTGGACTTTGCCATCAGCCACTCAGTTTGAAGGTGTGCTCGCTTTTTGTTGTTGGAATAAACCATCTGAACTCTACCTGCTAGCCTACGTGTCCTGCGTTTGGGTCCTCCAACTTGCTCAACTCTGCCGTAACCACCACTGAACGTAACAGTTGTATGCTGTGTACAGATTGTAAAACCTCTTGAGCCAAATTTGGAATTTAGGTCAATAGAAATAAAAATTGACTTGACTTTAAATAATTGTTAGTTGTAAACCTAGTGGTTTTATTATAGTCAAGAAACAATGTAGAATAAATGTTACATTTAATTTGCAATTATAAATGCTTGGAATACATAATGTGATTTCTCATGCTCAGGTTATATGAGCGTAGACATGTAAATCTTTTCATCATGAGAAAACAAAGACTCCACCTGCAGTTAAAAGTTTAAAAGACCAAACGGAAGAAGTGAATGTCAAGGCATTTGTCTGAACTGGCTCTGTTCACCACAAGGTGTACAAAGCGTAGATAACGGCAGACAAATGTTCATCACTTTCTTGATCTGAATAAATATGTTGCTTCTCTGCTGTTGTAGTTAGCATTTTACCTATTTTTTGCCTTTTGTATGTTCTCCCATGTTGTCTAGCTACAGGTCTAGCGTAGTAATATCCAGCATTTGAATCTCAAGTTTCTGTCTGTCCCTTTCAGTGCACTGTGCAGGTGAAGCTGGAGTTGGGCCACAGAGCCCAGCTGAGGAAAAAAGTTACATCAGAAGGATAAGAAGTTACACCCACGACTGGATGGTGTTTGTCCGAGGCCCAAAGACCGGCGAAATCCAGCACTTTGTCGAGAAGGTTGTCTTCCGCCTGCATGAGAGCTTCCCCAAACCCAAGAGAGGTATGACAGAAAGATACTTTTTGAACATGCAAACACTCTGCAACATTTGTTTTCATAGTAAATGTCATACTCAAAGGTTGTATGTCACTTACGCCTCAGATAGAGTGAGTCCTATACTGCGCTGTGATTGGCCAGCTGTGTATTCGGGGCGTGGCTTAGCTAATGGTCAATTTGATAAATAATGTTGTATGTGGTTCTGGTATCACGTAACATGAACCTTAAAAATCTATCTATTATCATGGCAGTTATGAGACATTTTGCTGGTTCCAATCATAGTTTTTTAATATAGAAAAATTCATAATATTATATAGTTTACCAAGACCCTTCTTCAAAAATGTGACATAATTTAGTTAATATATTTGTCTACCCCACTACTTCAGTCATTATTTCATTATGTCATTCAATTGAAAAGAGTAATGTGAGTCTTTGTCTGTCTGCAGTATGCAAGGAGCCGCCGTACAAAGTGGAGGAGTCGGGCTACGCAGGCTTCCTCATGCCTATTGAGGTCTACTTCAAGAACAAGGTGAGCTCGACAGGACACGGATAGTAAACTGTGGGCGGTTGATCAGTGGTTCTCAAAGTGGGGTCCTAGGGGCCCTTGAGGGGTTCCAGGGGGTCCCCCCAAAGGGGAAACTATTATTTTCACATAATCTAAGTAACACAATGACAGAAGGTATGGCAATTGTGGTTATGGGTTTCACACACTTTCTCTAATAAATAAATCATCTAAAAGCAAAAATTCTATCAGATTAGGATTGGGGACCCTGAGACAAAATGTCTGTGCAGGTTCAAACAGGGGCCCGTGGTCTAATTTGTGTCCAATTAGGGGTCCTTGAAAATGTTTGCAAACCATTGATATAGATAATATATTTATATAAAAAAGAAATTTAGGCTGTAGGAAAAAAATATTAGAAAGTATAGGTTTTAGGAAATCACAGATAGTAATGTGACAATATGGGTGTTATAGTACCAACTCTTTAATAATGTGAATATAGTATTGAACTGCACTAAAACATTTACAAGCACAGACATGCACACAGAAATTTGGGTTACTGGAAGGAAATCTGTTTTGTTTTTCAGCAGAAATTTACTGTTAAGATGGTTCTTCTTTAACTTGGCAAAAGAAACCAGGTCTTCCTTGTACATGATGTTTCTGAATTAGGTTTACTGTCCATAACCAAGAGTAATCAGGTTACTTAAGTGCATGTATATTGTTTAAGTGCAATGCAGAGATGGTTTAAAAACCTGTTTGTCCATTTTTCTTTGAGAGTGGCTTCACATTGGACAGCCTTACTAACACACTCTGAAATGGGTCAGATAGGACCAATCAGAATGCACAATTGTGTTTGTAAAACATTACTTTTATAAGGAGACATTTCTCTCTTTTAAGTGATAGAATTAAAAATGCAAGCACTTATACTGGCACCTTGAGTTTACGTCAGGCAATTCAATGAATGATGAAAGACAGGAAGTACCACTTTACTTTCATTACAAGATCATAATGATGCTTAAGAGGTATGTGCACATTAAGCCTAGTTCAAACTACATGGTCCGAGAGCTCAGCGGCTGTGATCGGGGGTAAATCAGTGATCGAATGGCGGTCACCAGTTGTTATGTGTGAACTACTCCCTGACACATCATTGACACATTGCATACGCCAGATATCTTGCATGCCAAATATCTTGCATGCCAAATATCTGGAGGAGTCGGCTGACTCGACATCCACATCTGGCAGCTAGCCGAACAGGCGGCTACTTTTTCACCACAAAACACTTTTTACTCACCTCCAGCTCTCCCTGTAGCTCAGACAATCCCTGCTACCTGCATGTGCTAATCCATTCTTTCACCCATATTCTTTGTCTTTATAATTACTATCTTTATAATAACAAACAACAGCTGTTTCAAGTGTAGGTTCGCGTCATTTCCCATTTCCTGTGTGTTTTCTTGACAAAACGTGGTTTGGGGACCAGCATTGTGTGACACAGCCGCATTCAGCTCGTGTAGTGTGTGACCCCCTGTCACCAATCAGTCATATAGTGTGAACGCCACAACGACTTCAAGACCCCCGTCACAAGGCGGCAAGTTGTGTTGTATGAACGACACTTCATAGGCTGACAGTGAAAGTCGTGTAGTCTGCACGAGCCTTTAGTGTGCCATCATGTCCTGCAATTCTTTACAGGGTAGCCACATTCCAATAGACCTGTAGCCCGTTGGCCTCACACCTGCTTTTAACCGGATGATCTCTGTCATCACACGCGAATGGTTGCATGCACACACACATCAACACAGCATTCAGTCAGTGCGTGAGTGTGAGTGGCCAACCAGTGTGGACAAAAAATGCAGAAGAGAACGAGAGAAAGAGCAGAGGCGGAGAAAACCCAGAAGGAAAGTGCCGTTAAATGTTGTAAATTACAGAGATCCAGAAGCTATTCTTTTAATGTAATTCCCCAACAACAAAAATGTGGGTACTGAAAATGCTGTGTGGCTAGTAACTTTGGAAAACCAAAAAGGTTAATGTCAAACCCTGCCAGCAACCATTAATCCATTTACAAAAAGACATTTTTGTTTATAAAATCTCTCATTAATGTCTTAATGCCTTTTCCTCAGCCTTAATTGTCCTGTTTTCTACAGCTTCTCTCAGGAATATTAGTTGTTTCTTATCAGTGTGCCGACTTGTTAATCTTTCTTTATATTTTATACTTACTAAGTTTATTGTTACGGCAAGGCAAGTTTATTTGTATAGCACATTTCACCAACAAGGCATTGGAAAATGCGTTACATCAAGACAAATTGTAAATGCAACAAAGGGCAATATATAAATACATGCAAATACACCAACATACCAAAGCAAATTCCATGAATGTGTACTCAACTTGGCAATGAACCTGATTCTTATTGTGGTACCACATGATGTATTATACCAGTTCTTCTCAAATAGAGTTGTGAAGTTCTGGATGTATTTTTCCCCCATTTTGAATTCCCATTTCAAGTCTTTCTTTAAGCGATAACCTCAGTGCATCTGCAGGTCTTGAAAAGTCTTAAAAACCATTGATCCATTTCTTCAAAAAGGCCTTAGAAGGTGTTACATTTTATTTATAAAAGTCTTGAATATTTTTTCCTGCATGCTATAAACACTTGTATTAGTTTTTTGTAATTTTTGCATCTGATTGCGAGCAGTTGGGAGAAGTTACACATAAAACGTACAAAAGTGGCATTGTTGTGGCACTGGATAGTTTGTGTAGGAGGCTGTTCAATACCTTTCTTGTGGGATTTCAGTTGGCACTATCAGACATGCAGCTCACACCGTCAGTTATTGCTAGCTGCAGTAGCTAGGAAGCTCGTTATCTCATAGTGTCAATATTTGCAAAAACTGAAACTTTCTTAAATGTATTTATTACTTTTAATTTGTCAATCTATCTATCCAGTTTGTCTATTTGAGTCTAGGTCAGAATTATTAAAAAGTTTTTGCACACCATAAAGTGTTAGTGAAAGGTTCGTAGGCTGTCTGGATGAACGTTGTCTAATGGAGGTCTGAGTACTGAAAAGTTGTTAATAAAGTGAGAACAAGTGATGGAAAGTGTGCAGGATTCTTAGCTGCTGAGTTGGATTGAGGAAAAGAGGCTGGGGCGACACATACAGCCACTGAGGCCAGAGAAACATGCAGTACCAGGTACAGTTAACCTTCGTTTTCGACAAAATAATCTTGACTAAACCTTGAGGCAAGATTATTTTGTCTAAACTTGTTGAAAAAGAACAGTCTGTTGCTCAGGTGGGTGCTACACATTGGTGGTGGTTGAGATGAGTTCTCCCCCCTTTCACGCTGAAGCACTTTGAGTATCTAAGATAAAGTGCTATATAAATGTAATCCATCATCAGTGCAAATGCTGAGAGAAGCTAAGATGATAGGATGAGCAGTTGTGCTACTTACAATCCCTACACACTCATACACACACCCTTTTCCCAATATTCCCCGGTGTGGTACAGGCTATAATGTACATAGGCTGTCTCCCCTCTAGCTCGGATTGATCCCTCTCCAACACAAATAGGTTATTTGTCTCTACTCATGACATCCTTTAGATATTTATATCATTATGATCTCAGTCAAGGTCCACTTATGTGTTTTTTGGGGGGCTTTCAACTGCATGTCAAGGTCTGAATCCACAGATGGACTTTGGTCATTTGATAACAGGTTTAGATCATAACTCCTGTCTCTGTTCTTTCTCTGTCCTATAAAGTACAGAATGCAACTCTCTTGTTTCTACCCCTTTCAGTGTAAAGTTCAGGTGAATCTGGAGTTGAGCCACAGAGCACAGCCAAGGGAGAAAGAAACAACAGAAGACTTCACCCACGACTGGACTGTTTTTTATGTCTGAGGGACAGAGATTGGCGACATCCAACACATTGTAGAGAAAGGGTTCTGAGATTTTCCCCTGAGTTTCCCCAAATCCAAGAGAGTAGTGTCGGGGGGGATATCTTTTGAACATGCACGCACCAATCAACAATGTAAGGTAAAATTATTTATATAGCATGTTTTATACACAAAGGCAATTTAAAATGCTTTCTGTACTCCATAAAATCCATTAAGAATTGCAGCACAACACATTTAAAACAAAACTAAAGTAGTGTGCAGGGTTTCCCCCGGGAAATTGCTATGGGGAAGAAAAAATTCACTGGCTTTTCTTTCTGCATTTGTCTCCTGCACACTCTAATAGCAAGAATAATAATATAAGTTTACTGTCACTGTATAAACTACTAGTATTTTCATCAAGACATCTGTGTCCATCCGCAGTCTGCAAGGACCCTCTGTACAAAGTGGTATAGTCAGGCTCTGCATGCTTCCTCATAGCTATTGAGTTTTATGTGGGTTTACATCAAGAACAGGGTGAAATGGATTGACAAATCAAGAAGGGGAAAAACATTTTTGTTTATAAATTTTCTCTCATCATAATGCCTTTTCTTTAGCTTTAATTGTACCCCACTCTACATCTGAACGCTCAGAAATATTAGCTGGATCTAACACACTGACATGAAAGTTTGTTTTACTGACCTGGGTGATAATTTATTCTTTCATCTTCTGTTGAGAGCTGACTGACAAACACAAATGACTTTTTGTCACACAAGAAGGTTACAATAACAAAGATTAGCTTAATGAAAAGCTCTTTATATCGTTTTATTCCAGAAGAGGCAGAAAAAGGTGCGTTTCAAAAACGACCTCATCCTTAAACTCAGAGGATGAAACTTCTGCTGCACTCTGAGAAGCTCACTTTCAACAACCCTACTTAGGAATTCAGAAGAAAACTGATCAAAGCTAGAGGGGTGAGGCTGCCTCTCACACTAGTACAGGATGTACGGTGTATGTGCAGAGTACAGTGGCTTTAACAAAACAGTAACACAACTTTTGTCTCTCGATTTTAGGTGATTGTAGTTCCAGAGGGGGCTGAGGCTGTGTTATATTTGTAAATGTAAAACAAATACAGTGATAAAGTATTCAATAGTAAACTATATACACTTGTACAGAAAATT